CACAGAGGTAGGGGGGAGCAAGACCATGGAGGGCTTTGAAGGTGAGGATCAGGATCTTGAACTGTATCCTCTGTGTGATGGGAAGACAGTGGAGTCGGGCAAGAATGGGGGTGATAGGGTCACGGAGCCTAGTGCGGGAGAGGACAGGGGCTGCAGAGTTTTGGATGATGTGCAGCCTGTGGAGGGAGGAGTTGGGGAGGCCAACAAGCAATGAGTTTGAATAGTCGCGTCTCGATGTAATGAAAGTGTGTGTGAGAGTATTGGTGGCCTGTGATTTGAGACGGTGGCGGAGTCGGGTGATTTTGGAATCACGAAGATCTTCACTCCTTGTTGCTGAGACAAAGAAACAGATTGTATATCAGACACGACACACACCAAGCACCGAGGCCAGCAGCAGTCTGACTTCACTGACTGACGTTACTTTGTGGAGTCCTGTAGCGTAGTGGTTAGAGCACTCGCCTCACAAGCGAGAGGACCCGGACTTGATAATAAAACGCTTAAAAAAAAAGGTCACTCGATCCACGACTGTTTGTGGGACACTGCTGTGCGCTTTGAGACTTCTCGAAGATGTGATAATGAGCTGTATCAAATGCACGGATTATTATTATTATTATTATAATCCCTGCATTTTATATAGAGCCTTATCACATCGCGGAGACGTCTCAAAGAGCTTCACAAAATATACTGTAAAGTGTAGCAACTGTGTACTTTGTGGGCAAAACACACACAGCAGCGTCCCACAAACAGTCGTGGATTGAGTGACCAATTTTCTTTTTTAAAGGTGTTATTGTCCCCGGAAAGCGATCCGCCAATCGACTAACAACCAGGTTCCTACTTACTGCTGGGTAAACAGAGGCGTGCGGAGTAAGGAAACTTGCCTAAGGTTTTGACCTTGCCTGGGGATCGAACCCAGGTCCTCTCGCTTGCGAGGCGAGTGCTGTAACCACTACGCTAGAGGACTCCACAAGTAAGTCCATTTGATCCCATCCTTCCAAGAACACACCGCCTGCCACCCACCAGCGCATTACACTAATTCATGTGTTCCCCTTTCTGAGAAGTCTGGTTCAGAGGTTGAAGAACCCCTGGCTTATCTGGTGGCCCCTCCCTCGCAGCTGATTCTGTACAAGGAGGTGGAGCTGGCCTTGGGCATCAACAGTGGCTACAGCAAACGGACGCTGATCAGTCTGCACCCCAACATCAAGGTGGGCAGTGGGGGCCGGGGCGCACACACGGGGGGTCCCACATAGTGTGTGTGTTCGTCTGTCTGTATCCTTGTAAAGGGGCGCTATATAAATGCGTGTTGTTCTGTGTGTGTGTGTGTGTGTGTGTCGCGCGTGAACAACAACAAATTGGATTTATATAGCGCCCTCCACGCCGGATGGTGTCTCAGAGTGTCAGTGTGTGTGTGTGTGTGCGTCAGTGTGTGTGCGTGCGTGCGCTTCGGCGTGTGCGCGTCGGTGTGTGCGCGTCAGTGTGTGTGGTGTGTGTTTGTGAACAATTTCCAGGGTTCAGTGTGAGTGTAATATTGGTGATCATGTAAAACACTATGTGATCACTAGCGGGCAGTGATTGCTTGCCCCTCAATGGGACTTTTCCCCCAATGTAAAGTGTGGTTGTTGGTGTGTATGAGTGAAAGGGGGAAGTGTGTGTGTGTGTGGTGGGGGGGGAATGGTGTGTGGGGGTGTGTGCGTGTGTGAGGGGTGGGGGGCGATATGTGTGTATATGTGGGGGGGAGGAGATGTCCGTGTGTGTGTATGGGTGGAATGTATGTGTGTGAGGGGAGTGTGTGGGGGTGGTGTGTGTGTAGGTGGAGGGGGGGGGTCGTGTCCTGACTGACCCATTGCTCCCCCAGGTGATGAGACACCCAGACCACGTGTCCTCCTCTGTGTACTTGTGGGCGCATCATGAGAAGCTGGTGGTGATTGACCAGTCAGTGGCATTTGTTGGGGGTATTGACCTGGCGTACGGGCGGTGGGATGATGAGGAGCATCGGCTGACGGACGTGGGCAGCGTCACGCGGACAAACGGGGGGGAGTCTGCCGCTGCCCCTCCCCCGGCGTTGCTGTCTGCCCCAACGCCCACACCCCCTGCAGAGTCTCTGAGCCCCCCCAACCAAACTGTGAGTCACCGGCAACGCTCGCGCTCTCACCTGGACGGATGGTCGTGGGTTAGAAACCTCTCTTACTTAACAACAATATTTACACCTTTACACGGCACTTTTATGTTGGGAGGATGACACAAGTTGCTGGACAGTCAGGGATTTAGACCGGGGTGGGGGAGGGATGGAGAGCAATGAGGGTAAGGGGTAGGAGGGTGACCAAAGGCGCGGTCGAAGCGGAGGGTCTTGAGACAGGTCTTCAAGGAAGCAAGGGAGGGGGCTGAGGCGAAGGGACTGTGGGATGGAATTCCAAAGGGTGGGGGCAGAGAGGGAGAAGGCCTGACCGCCGATGGTGGGGTGGGGCAGGCTGGGTGGGAGACGTGGAGCAGGCCAGAGCCTGCTGAGGGGAGGGAGAAAACAGGTTGGTATGGAGGCTGAGACCATGTAGAATTTGGGGCTGGGGGCGAGGAGACTCCCCCCCCCCCCCCCCCACACCCCATACCAGCTGCGCTGTGCTGGGAGTGTTGCCAGGACTGACCGGGAACCCGGTGATATTTTGCCTGTTTTGCCCTGGCAGGCCGCGGGGTCATCTGGTGAGAGGAAGACCTTTTCCTCGGTGGCTCAGCAAATCCGAGCGAAGGTGGTGAGGGAGAGGAACGAGGAGCTGGACACAGTGGACTCGGCCAAGATGAAGGGAATCGGCAGACAGCGGAAAACCTTCACTGTCTTCTCTCTATACAGACACCTGGCCAGACGCAACCTGGAGCACAGTGACAGCATGAGCAGCATCGACAGCACAGAGAACAGTGAGTTCTCATCATTCTCTCCCCATCGTGTCTGTGCTGGGGCTCACTCCCACTGGAGCTCTCTAACCCCATTCCCTCCTCTCTTTCCCCAAACAGACAATTGTCAGGTCTTGTGATTGGATTATAACAGAATGGAGAGCATTTGAACATGTTTTAGTTCTTGGACATTTTAAACCTTTTTTTTTGCAGGATGATGGGTCTGGAATTGTCCGGCCAGAAATTTCCAGATACCAAAGTGTAAAACTGCAGAATTTTGCTCCTGATTTTCTTGCATGTAGACAATCGAGCACTCTGATCAATACTAACCACATCCATCACCTTCAGACTAACAGCAATCAGTCAATCAGTGCAAAACAATCCCCCTCCCCACTGTGTGGTGTGGAGACACACAGATTTAGTCCAGGTCACTGTTCTGGCCCAGTTCATTGATGACTTTAACCTGTGGTTTTAAGGTCAACTGAGATACTGGGCAGGTCATGGTGAGACTAGGCTCTCTCTCACTCTCCATCTATTTGTCTCTCTCCCTCCCCCTTCTCTCACTTCCCCTCCTCCTCTTTCTCCCTTCCCCCTTGTCTCACGCTCTCTCTTTCTCCCTACTCCCCCCCCCCCTTATAATAATAATAATCCTTGCATTTGATATAGTGCCTTATCATGTCATCGAAACATCTCAAAGCGCTTCACACAATATACTGTAAAGTGAATTGACTGTATTTTGTGGGCAAAATATGGCAGCCAATTGCGCACAGCAGCGTCCCACAAACAGTCATGGATTGAGTCACCAAATTGTTATTATGTTTTTTTAAGGATTATTATCCCTGGAAAAGCGATCCACCATTTGACTAACAACCGGGTTCCTACGGCTGTGTAAACAGAGGAATGTGGAGTAAGGAAACTTGCCCAACATTTCGCTCTGCCCAGGAATCAAACCCAGGTCTCTCGCTTGCGAGGCGAGTGCTCTGACCACTGAGCTACAGGACTCCATTCCCTTTCTCACACTCACATACTTTCTCCCCCCACCCACACACCCCCCTCTCTATTTCTGGGGACAACACAAGTAGCTCCTAGACCAGTGTCTGACTTTTGCAGGTTGGTTTAGGACACATAGCAGCCAACAGAGTTTAATCCATGACCGAATGCCCCAGCTGAAGAGGTTACACCTGCACAGAGCTGAGGCTGGGCGAGTGGATGGTGAGTTAAGCCTCGGCCCCTCTGGTGTCTGGTGTGTTGTTGGGGGCTTTGCTAGCGAGTATGCGGTGAGAGACGACTGAGCCAAGCCCACGTCTGCCTGCCAGGCTGTGCCAGGGCTGTGGTTTGGAAGCCAATTGAGAATCCAATTGATTTTGGACTTTCAATTGGCTTCCAAATTAATCCTGGATTAAGCAAACATCCCTTCATATTTCCGCCATCCATTTTAGGACAGAATGGTCCATAGGCCCCCCCCTCACCCCCCAACCCGCGATGATCTCTTACCATGTTAGGGCTCTTTTCCTATCAGTCTGGTTCAGTCACTCGCACTCTCGTTTGAGTCAGGAGGTCGTGGGTTTGAGCCTCACATCAGTGTTGCTGAGGGGAGAGAGCGCCGCATCGTCCTTTAGATGAGATGTTAAACCGCACTCCCCGTCTGCGCCTCGCCAGGTGGACGTTAAAGATCCTGCAGCAAATTTGCGAAAAGAGAAGGGAGTGTTTCATGTTATCTTGACCAACAATCCCCCCCCGAGAGATAAAACAACAACAACAATCCTTGCATTTGATATCGCACCTTATCACACCGTTGAGACATCTCAAAGCACTTCACAGAATGCACTGTAAAGTGCAGTGACTGTGTGTTTTGTGGGCGAAATCACTCGCTCGCTCACCTCCTGTCTGGAGTTACTGCCTTCACCCATTTAAAAATTGACAGTAATTTACTGGTAGCAGCTTTGAGATGTATTGGAAGTTCAAAGGAGCAATAAAACATGCAAATTCTCAAGTTCTCACCAGCAGTATAAAGCCCCTGTCTGTCCCACTGCTTGTTAATAACTCACCCTGATACAGGCCTCTGCCTCTCTCTCTTTTTACCCGGCTCTTTTGAGCCAAAGTAAATGACCGTCTGTTTTACGGTTACCAGTGTGTCCTCCCTGGTTGCCCTCAGCAACGCTTGGCTCTCCCTCTGCCAACGAGTCCTGGCACAATGTGCCGGAGGGGGAGCAGTCAGTGATTCCCGAGCCCGAAGCTTGCACACAGCGACCTGATTCTCACTACCTTGGCAGTGGGATTGTACTTGTGGAACAAGGCGCCATTGTGCAGGAGTTGAGTCGTTGCTCAACCCCCCCACCCAAATACCACCCCCACCCTTGCTCTCAGCAGCCAAGTCCTCACACACGCTTTCATTACATCGAGGCTCAACTATGCAAACTCATTGCTTGTCGGCCTCCCCAACTCCTCCCTCCACAGACAGCAGAGCATCCAAAACTCTGCAGCCCGTGTCCTCTCCCACACCAAACTCCATGACCCTATCACCCCCACCCTTGCCCGAATCCACCGGCTTCTCATCACACAGAGGATACAGTTCAAGATCCTGGTCCTCACCTTCAAAGCTCTCCACTACCTTTGCGACCTCCTAATCCCCTACCATCCTGCACGCTCCCTCCGCTCAGCGGGCTCTGGCATGCTTCACGTCCCCCACCTTGCTCTCCCCACTATTGGCGGGCGGGCCTCCTGCCACTCTGCCCCTACCCTCTGAAACTCCATCCCGCAGTCCCTCTGCCTAACCCCCTCCTTCGCCACCTTCAAGACCCATCTCAAGACCCTCCTCTTCAACCGGGTTTTTGATCTCCCTGCTTCCACCCCCTGTCCTCCACCCTCCCTGACCCTGACCCCCAGCTCAGGTCTGTAACTCTGTCCAGCGCATTGGGACATCCTCCTGACATGAAAGGTGGTTTACAAATGTAATTTTGTTGTTGTTGTCCTATCTGAGATTGGCTGTGATCTCTGAGTGAGCGAGCACTCAATGCCCTGTGTGCGTGTGTAAGAGTTCTCAGCCGGGCCATTCTATTGCTCTGCAAAAGATAACCTGTGTCCCTTCTCCACACGCAACACGCATTAACCCTAGGCAAATGTGCTCCCCAGCCCCAGACACGCGTGTGGCTCCCCAGCCACACAGACGTTAAACCAAGCTCCACTCTGTTGCTCGTTGCTAAATGGTCCATGTTTAGGGGGAGGTTCCTGGCTGGAGACAGCCTGTCCCAGGGCAATATCACACCCTTTTTACACCAGTGATTGCAACTCACTAACCAACTCACTAACCAACACGAGTCTTGTATAGTCTGGTTTGTGCTCTCTCTCTGTCTATCTCATGGTGAGCTTACTATGAACAACCACGTTCTTTCTGCATGTTGGGAGCTTGGAGCGTGAGCGGTGGGGTTTGTCCATGAACTCGTGATCTCTTCCCGCATGCCCCCCTCCCCCGCTTCCCTCTGGATCAACGCTGTGTCAATCATCTTCCTCACAATCCCAGATTTCCATGGGGTCGGGGGGAGTGAGTGGTTGGGGTGGGGGGGGAGCCTTTGCTGAGCAGAGGGTTTGGTGAGATGCAATATTGAAGACTGTGAAGGTCTTTGTTACGATCTCTCTAAGCCGGGGCCAGAAATAGAGGGAAAATCTTCAATTGGGTCCCAAACCGGAGCCGGTTCCTTGTTAACAAACAGTGGAAAAACACCGGCTTCCAAACGCAGACCCGATGAAGGATGTTCTGCTGTTTTGTCCCCGTCTGAGCCTAATTAGGCTGAGACTGGGTGGAATTTGGAGTGAGGGAGCAAGTTATTGACCCGGTGCTGCTGTCCTGGTGAAGCTCGGTGCCTCGCGGCTCAGCCTCCGGCCGCCCCCCCCCCCACCCCCCCAAATATGTTTGGAAAGTTTTAAAATCAAGGACTTGGGGTTTCTTTTGCTGAGCAAACTCTTCTGTTCTTAAATTGAGTCTTAATCTGGAACCTTTTTCCCCGACCAGACCAGAATGGTCCAGAGGCTGAGACCGCGAGGAATTCCGGGCCGCTGGCGTGCGTGGTGTGTAACGATCATTGTGTGTTATTGATTGGTTCGTTGGTTGTGTGGTTTAGCTGTGACGTGTCGGGTCTGTGTGACAGGCAGCTACACGCCACCCCACCTGCAATTAAACCTGATTTGCTTTCAGTTCCCATGCGCGGGCTCTCAGCTGTTGATGTGAAATTCAGCTCCACCCTTCCCCACAACCTCCCTAACCACACAACCCCCCCCGCCCCCACATACACACAACCCCCCACACACAACCCCCCTCCCCCACACACACAATCTCTCCCCTCCCCACCACACGCACACCCCCCCGCCCCCACACACACACCCCACACACACAACCCCCCTCCCCCACACACACAATCTCTCCCCTCCCCACCACACGCAACCCCCCCCACACGCAACCCCCCCCACACGCAACCCCCCCACGCACAAACCCCCCAACACGCAACCCCCCCGACACGCAACCCCCCGGACACACAACCCCCCCCGCACACGCAATGCCCCCCACACACAACCCCCCACATACTACCACTCCACACACACTTTAATATTGTTCCTTTTCAAATGTGTTCCACCTCCACACAATGCAGAGAGGTGTGAGTTGAGGCGTTTTGGGAGGAATGAGGAATGAATACCCAACAGATGGTACAGTTTTAAAGGGAGTTCAGGAGCAAAGAGACCTGAGGGTTCACGAACACAGGTGGTTGAAGGTTGATGGATCTGTTAAAAAATCACATGGAATCCTTGGCTTTATAAATAGAGGCACAGAGTACAAAGACAAGGACGTGCTGCTCAACCTTCATAAGTCACAGGTTACGCGTCAGCTGGAGTATTGTGTCCAATTCTGGTCATCACATTTTAGGTAAGGATATCAAGACCTTGGAGAGGGTGTAGATTTACCAGAATAGGACCAGGGATGAGGGACTTTAGTTATGTGAAGAGACTGGAGAAGTTGGGATTGTTCTCCTTAGAGCAGAGAAGGTTAAGGGGAGATTTGATAGAGTTGATCAAAATTATGAGGGGATTCGATAGAGTGGATGGGAAGAACCTGTTTCCACTGGCGGGTGGGTTAGTAATCAGGGCACATAGATTAAGATAATTGGCAAAAGAACCAGAGGGGAGATGAGGAGAAATTTTCTTTACATAGGGAGTTGTTACGGTCTGGAATTCACTGCCTGAAAGGGTCAGTGCAAACAGATTGAATAACAACATTCAAAAGGGAATTGGATAGGGACTTTGCAAGGATATGGGTTAAGAGTGTGGGAGTGGGACTGATTGGGTAGCTCCTCCGAAGAGTCGGCACAGGCACGATGGGCCGAATGTGCTGCAATATTCTATGATTCTATATCCCCCCCCCCGACACACACACACAAAGATTGAAACACATACAGAGTGACACACACAGAGTGACACACACAGTGACACACACACACACACACACGCAGCACAATGTGCCGTTGTGGAGTTGCCTGTAACTGGCTGTGGTGCTGGTGCTGTGACAGAGAGAGGCTCGAGGAGCAGCCTGCAGTCAGGGATGGGAGACCTGGTGGGTCAGAGTCGCTTCTGGCACGGAAAAGATTACTGCAACTTCGTCTTCAAGGACTGGATACAACTGGACAAGCCCTTCGATGGTGAGTGTGTGTCTCTCGTCCCCCCACAAACATCGTGTCTCACACTGGGTGTGTTGGGCAGATTATGTCGGGGCGCGCTGTGGGCACGGCGGGGCTCGCTGTGGGCTCGGCGGGGCACGCTGTGGGCGTGGCGGGGCACGCTGTGGGCGTGGCGGGGCGCGCTGTGGGCGTGGCGGGGCGTGCTGTGGGCGCGGCGGGACGCGCTGTGGGCGCGGCGGGACGCGCTGTGGGCGCGGCGGGACGCACTGTGGGCCGGCGGGACGCGCTGTGGGAGCGCGCGGGGCGCGCTGCTGGGCGTGGCGGGGCACGCTGTGGGTGGTGGGCTGTGGCGGGGCACGCTGTGGGTGTGGCGGGGTGTGCTGTGGGCGTGTTTCATGCTCAGGGTCTGTTCCGCAGACTTTATTGACCGCTATGTGACCCCCCGGATGCCCTGGCACGACATCGCTTCCGTGGTTCATGGCAAAGCCGCTCGCAACGTGGCTCGGCACTTCATCCAGCGCTGGAACTTCACTAAGGTGATGGCGAGCACCTGGGCGTGACCTTGCGCCCGCATCACACACCGCCTGCCCCCCGCCCCCCCCCCCCCCCCCCCCCCCCCCCCCCCCCCCGCCTGCCCCCCCCCCGCCTGCCCTACCGCCTGCCCGCCCCGCCCCTGCCTGCACTCCTGCCTGCACCCCCGCCTGCCCCCGCGCCCCTGCCACCCCATCCCCACCTGCCCCCCCGCACCCGCCTCCGCCCCCGTCTGCCTCCTCGCCTGCCCCCCGCACCCGCCTGCCTCCCGCCCCCACCTGCCTCCCTGCCCCCGCCTGCCCCCGCGCCCCTGCCACCCATCCCCGCCTGCCCCCCCGCACCCGCCTCCGCCCCCGTCTGCCTCCTCGCCTGCCCCCCGCCCCCGCCTGCCTCCCGCCCCACCTGCCTCCCCGCCCCGCCTGCCCCCCGCCTGCCCCCCCACCTGCCCCCCGCACCCGCCTGCCCCCCGCCCCCGCCTGCTTCCCGCCCCCGCCTGCCCACGTGTTTGCATATGTGTGACGTGTGGGCGCGACCTGTTGGTGTGCGCGAGGTGTTGGTGTGCGCGGCACGTGGGTGTGTGTGTGAGTAATTTGTGTTCTTACCTGTCAGATTATGAAGGGTAAATACCGCTCGCTCTCCTACCCGTACCTGCTCCCCAAGTCCATGTCCACGGCCAACGAAATGAAGTACCTGGTGCCAGGCTGTGTCCAGGCCAAGGTTCAGGTCAGCCTCCGTCTGCTCTGTTTGCCTTTACGCCTCGCTGGGTTTGGGAGGGAAACTTGCTGGGAAAGTTTGGACGTGATCTTGTGGAGTTCTGTAGCTCAGTGGTTGGAGCACTTGCCTCACAAGCGAGAGGACCCGGGTTCGATTCCCGGGCAAGGCAAAACTTTATGCCAGTTTCCTTACTCCACACGCCTCTGTTTACCAGCGGTAAGTAGGAACCCGGTTGTCAGTTGATTGCTTTTCTGGGGATAATAATCCCTTTTTTTAAAAGAAAATTTGGTCACTCAAACCACGACTGTTTATGGGACGCTGCTGTACGCAATTGTCTGCCGCGTTTTGACCGCAAAATATACAGTCACTTTACTTTGCAGTGTATTCTGTGAAGCACTTTGAGACGTCAATTTATCTCGTCCCTCTCGCCTGTGGCTGTTCATGTGGAAGTTACTACACTTTAAGGTGAAATCCCCTGAAGCAGTTTGAGACATCCCTCCAACCCCCCCCCATCCTCCCTACTCCACCCCAGTCAGTGTGAGGGTATTACTGTGGGGAGACAGTGAGGGGGGGGGGCAGTGTGTGAGTGCTACTGTGGGGAGACAACAACAACTTGGATTTATATAGTGCCCTCCACGCCGGACGGCGTCTCAGAGCGCTTCACAGTAATGGATCCCAGGACCAAGCCAGGGGAGGGGGAGGAGCCAGGGGAGGGGGAGGAGCCAAGGGAGGGGAGGAGCTGGGGGAGGAGCCAAGGGAGGGGGAGGAGCCAGGGAGAGAGGGAGGAGCCGAGGAGGGGGAGGAAGGTGAGCGAAGGTGCGGTCGAAAAGTAAGGTCTTCAGCAGAGACCTGAAAATGGGAAGGAAGGGATGAGATGAAGGGAGTGAGGAAGGGAGTTCCAGAGCCTCGGGGGATAGTGGCTGAAGGCACGGCCGCCGAGGGGGAGCGGAGGACTGGGAGGAGGCCAGACCCGGAGGAACGAAGGCAACGGGTACTGTGCTGAGGAGAGAGGTCAGAGAGGTCGGGGGGTGCAGAGGAGTGCAGGGACTTGAATTCGAGGGTGAGGGTCTTGAGATCTCTCTGGGACAGAGATCTCTCTGGGATAGGCAGCCGGTGCCGTCTGGCCAGGACTAGGCCAGACGGGGGGGAGGGCCAGGACTGGGGGGGGGGGTTTGGGGGTGGGGGGAGGGCCAGGACTGGGGGGAGCGGGGTTTGGGGGTGGGGGGGAGGGCCAGGACTGGGGGGAGCGGGGTTTGGGGGTGGGGGGGGGAGGGCCAGGACTGGGGGGAGCGGGTTTGGGGGTGGGGGGGAGGGCCAGGACTGGGGGAGCGGGTTTGGGGGGAGGGCCAGGACTGGGGGGAGCGGGGTTTGGGGGTGGGGGGAGGGCCAGGACTGGGGGGAGCGGGGAGTGGGGTTTTGTGTGGGTGAGAATGCGGGCGGCAGAGTTCTGAATGATTTGGATTTTATGGATGGTAGTGGATGGGAGACCGGAGAGGAGGGCGTTGGAGTAGTCCAACTGAGACCGCGTATGGGGGTCAGTGTGAGAGTGTTACTGTGGGGAGACAGTGAGGGGTGGTGGGGGGGGGCAGTGTGAGGGTGTTACTGTGGGGAGACAGTGAGGGGTGGGGGGGGCAGTGTGAGGGTGTTACTGTGGGGAGACAGTGAGGGGTGGGGGGGGGCAGTGTGAGGGTGTTACTGTGGGGAGACAGTGAGGGGTGGTGGGGGGGCAGTGTGAGGGTGTTACTGTGGGGAGACGGTGATGGGGTGGTGGGGGGGCAGTGTGAGGGT